AATGGGATCGGTTTAATAGACTGGTTGGACAATCATCCTAATAAGCTATTATAGTGATCCCATTCAATGAATTTCAAATGGACACATATCCCACTTGCAATATATTGAATGGGATCGGTTTAGTATTTTGGTGGACAATCATCCCACCAACCTATTAAAATGATCCCATACAATAAACTGTAAGTGGATATATATCCCACTTGCTGGCAGTGGTCAATGGGTCATTTTGTCACTTTAGTGGGTAAGTGGACAAATAGTGGGTTCGTGGGATAGGGGTCGGGGCAGTGGTCAATGGGGGTCAAGGGGTCAGTCTGTCACTTTAGTGGGTAAACAGACACATAGTGGGTTCGTAGGATGGGGGGGTCCCGAGGGCGGGGCAGTGGTCAGCTGTGGTCATCGGGGGTCAGTTGGTCACCTTGGGTAAGCGGACAAATAGTGGATTCATGGGATGGGTGCAGGGCACAAGAATGGTCAGGGAAATGGACAACTGGCAGGTATGCGGGATGGGGGTCCGCATGCCAAAGTGTATGGGAAATGGACGAATGGCAGGTAAGCAGAACAGGGGTCCCACCCGAAAAGCGTCCACTTTCAACATATTTGAATGGGGAGAACCCCTATGTAATAGGCCTTAAGTTGGACATAGTGTCTCCCGACTGTGGAGCATGGTTGAACTGTGTTTGGGGGGCTCCCATTCGGGTCTGGGATGGCGGGGCGGCTGGCGTCCGGTGTCTGGTGCACGGCGTCCACGAACCTACCACAAACCTTTCTGGAGCTCCCATGTGCGGCGGCCAGGTGCTAAGATTGAGCATCAGAGCCTGTTTGGACGCAGATTCTCTGCCTCCTGATGTTCTGATGCAACAGGTCAGTCATCGAGTCAGTATGACGCATGTTGGCGACCTCCAGTTCCTGAATTTGTCAGTGACTTTGACAGACCTGGTGGACAAGGCACTGTGTGCCCTGAAGGACATGTGTCTTCAGGGCACACAGTGCGCCCTGAAGGACATGTGTCTTCTGCCACTGTGTCTTCTGTTCCGCAAAGCTGCGGGAACCCTGCCCCAGGTATGTTGAATGTAGTTCCACTGAGACTGTTGGCAAGGTGTCTGGATGCTTGGCACTTCCCGATAGCTACTCAGGACCATTCAGCTCGGCTATGCGATTCAGTTTGCCAGGCATCCACCAAAGTTCAGTGGCATTCTGTTACCTCAGTGTGAGGTGAGAATGCTGCTGTTCTTCGAGCGGAAGTTACCTCCCTTCTGGCGAAGGACGCGATAAAGCCTGTCCCCCTGCCCGAGATGAAGAAGGAGTTTTACAACCCCTACTTCATTGTACCCAAGAAGGGTGGGGGGCTCAGACCAATCTTGGACCTAAGGGTGCTGAGTAAGGCCCTGCACAAGCTCCCATTCAGACTGCTAACCCTCAAACACGTTAGAGTGTAAGGTACCAAGATTGGTTTGCAGCAATAGACCTGAAGGATGCGTGCTTTCATGTCTCGATCCTTCAAAGACTCAGGCCGTTTTTTCGGTTTGCCTTCGAAGGACAGGCATATTAGTACAAAGTTCTTCCCTTTGGGCTGTTCCTGTCTCCTCGCGTCTTCACGAAAGCCGTGGAGGCTGCCCTTGCCCCTCTTAGGGAAGTGGGCATTCGCTTTTTTATTCTTGACAACTGGCTTATTCTAGCTCACTTGTGGGAATTGGTTTGCACATACAGGGACATGATCTTTGACCACCTAGCCCGATTGGGACTTTGAGTCGACTGAGAGAAGAGCAAATTCTCTACTGTGTAGAGTATCTCTTTTTTTGGACTCTTTAACTATGACAGCACACCTCTTAGAGGACCGTGCTCGGTCTGGGCTGACCTGCTTGAGAATGCTCAAGTACAAGATCTAATAAGTGTAAGTGACAGTTTTATCAGTCACTTTGCTCATTCCAAAGCTCATTTACTCAAGTTAATTAGAACTTTAAATTAGCTGACAACATTTACTAGCAACACACAGTAACATTAACTGCCACTACACTGAAATATGCTGTTGCTAATGGTGATTAACCATGATTAACACACTACTATCTTGATGATATGTATTTAAAGGGATAGTTCACCCAGAAATGAAAATTCTGTCATAATTTACTCATGCTCATGCCTTTTCAAACCGTAAGACTGAGGGGCATTGCCAAATTGAAGTTTCTTGACTTTTATAGATTTGGAGACTGTGATTCATGCTTTTATTTCATCCAGACTGGATTATTGCAATTCTTTATATCTGGGGCTGTCTAAGAATCTGCTTGATCGGTTGCAATTAATGCAAAATGCAGTGGCCAGACTGCTGACTGGCACGAGGAAATTCTGTAGTATATCTCCGGTGCTGGAGTCTCTGCACTGGCTGCCTGTTGATTTTAGAGTGCAATATAAGGTATTGCTAATGGTTTTTAAAGGGTTACATGGTTTTGCCCCAGAGTATATTTCTAGCCTGTTACAATGGCAGTGTGCTGCTAGACCGCAAAGATCGTCTCAGAGTCTCATTCTGCATGTTCAGAAATCAAAATTAAAGACTAACGGGGATCATGCCTTCTCTGTGGCAGCTCCACGTCTCTAGAATAGCCTCCCTCCTCATATTAGATCCTGCAACTCGTTGGAATGTTTTAAATATGGTGACCATATGTCCTCTTTTTCCCAGACATGTCCTCTTTTCAGACCTAAAAAATTGCGTCTGGCCGGGATTTCTAAATCGCCCAAAATGTCCGGGATTCGGCTTTTGCTTTCTACAGTCGCCATTCATTGTGTGCGTTTTTGTTTTAGAGCCCTGCGAGGGATTGTTTTATTAATCCTGCTCCCGCTGAATTTCTGACCATTACCGCCCACTCCCGTGATTTTTGTGTCCAGTCCCACCCACTCCCGCAAACATTCTAATATTGCATATAATTTTATATACTTCCACTTTCGATGTAGCGATCACGCGCGTTCTGTGTAAAGGAAGATCAGATATTTGTCAGTGAGCTCAGGATCTGTTGAGCAGCAAATCCTCCAGCATGATCTGTTAGTCATCTCTCCTCTCAACCCGTGATCAGTTAAATCTGACTCCTGCAGCTCGTGTTGGATGCAGGGTTGTGAAGTCCATGTTTTTTTGGGGTTTTTTTCGATGGAATTGGGCTACTTTTACACTTACCATCTGTTGATTTTCCCCATTTGAAATGTTGCAGAAATTACATTTGACTGAAATGCTTGTATTTAAACATTTTGCATTCTGTGATAAAACTGTGCTAGATGTTAAGTTTTGTGAAGGATGGCCACTGGTAGGAAGCTTTTTAGCTGTGTTTATGATCAATATGCATAACAGTGACTGTAAATGTAAAATATTTATTTTAGGTATGGAAATTACATATTTTGAGTTGATATTTGGGATATGGTCACTGCACTACTTTGGGCGCTACTTTGGGCATTACTTTAACCAGCAACCAACCACACCCCAGACCCCCGCACCCACTGTCCTCTTTTTGGAAAACTAAAATATGGTCACCCTATTTTAAGTCCTTGCTGAAAATGCATCTCTACTCTATTACTTACCTGCCGCTAGGGGTCTGGAGTCTGAGTAGTGATCTGTATTGGGTGTGTTCTTCATTTTTGTTTGTTTTGTGGTAATGTTGAGAGTGTAAATCACTTTGGTCAACATGTGTTGTTTTTAAATGCGCTTTAGAAATAAATGTTGATTTAATTTTGATTTGATTTTACTTTTGTTCATCTTCGGAATACAAATGAAGATATTCTTATGGAAATCGGAAAGATTTCTGTCCCTCCATTGACAGTCTACGCAACTACCACTTTGACACTTCAAAAAGTTCATAAAGAGATCGTAAAACTAATCCATATGAATTGAGCTGTTTAGTCCAAATTTTCTGAAGAGAACTGATCACTTTATATGATGAACAGGTTTCATTTAGACTCTTATTCACATATTTACATGACAGCGAGCTTAAACAGAAGCTCAACTGTACTTGCTTGACTTGGGTTTGGAACGACATGAGTAAATGATGATATAATTTTCAGTTTTGGGTGAATTACTTCTTAAAGGATTCATATATGTATTTATTTTCTGCAGGTTGCAGCTTCTTGTTGGTAAAATTCTAATTGTGTGTACAGCAAACAAACCATTTGAACTTCAATTAACTATCATAAAGACAAAGATTTGTTGATCCACCTGTAGCATCCACTATAAAATAAATTAAATGCCCTTATTAGCTGATTTTAATATAATACCAATTAAACATTTAAAAATATTAATTATTTCTATTTTTTACATATTTATTTTTATAAAGTCAAATATTTTTAGACATGGCTATAAAGGACATGAATATAAAACATAATATCAGTTGTTACAAATATTGCCAGAGTTTTTTTTTGTTTTTTTGCTCAATATAAAATAATCCAGATAACAGCCATTACTAGTGGACCGACCATGAGTAGTAGTGCGGAATCGCTGTTTGCGATCAGATGACCAGCAGCAGCACACAGTCACAGACAGACCGACTCATACAGACATACTTTTTTAAGCATCTATATGAAGACATAAACTGTTTAAAAGAAAGGAATGAAATGTGTTTATTTAGTAATATTTGTAGACTGTTCATTATTATTAGTGTATTTGTATTACCGTGTATGAAAAAAATAATGAATGGTAGAGTTTATTAATACATCTATGCATTATGTTTGATGTAATGAAAAAAAAAAGTTTTATAAATTAGTATCCAAAATTAGTTTAAATGTAAAAGTGCACATATAAGACTAATAAGATTTACCTTAAAATTACAAAGAAAAATATAAATTATTAGTATGGACATAAAACGTTATATAATGAGCTGAAAAGAAAGAAAACTACTGAAAAAAAGTGTGTGTGTGTGTGTGTGTGTGTGTGTGTGTGTGTGTGAAATTAGTCTTCGTTTACAGTGTTACATTTATTTATTATAATTATTGTTCTATAATTATACATTAATGTTTTTCCCTTTTGATAGGCCCTATATTTAATTGCAACAAACGGCACTCCAGAGCTACAAAATCCTGAGCGGCTATCCTCAGTGTTTCGAGACTTCCTGAACCACTGTCTGGAGATGGATGTAGACCGAAGAGGGTCAGCTAAGGAATTGTTGCAGGTAACAAACTATGTTTCAGACATCTGTATTAATGTAAATTCCAATAAATATAAATTGAACTCATGTTTCATGACATATTGAGAATTTGTATGCGACAGGAACAGCGGCAGTTTCTGTGCTACATTTGCACAGTCTACAGTTCTTCACACTGCTCTATATTATCACTTTAATAGATTATAGAAATACTTGTTCCTATAACCCTATTATGTACATTACAACTTCAGCTGACAAGCTAAAAACACCAAAAATGTCTGCCAAAGTGCTAATATAAGATTGGTGAATTTTAGCAGGTTTGACTGTTTAGTATTGTTTGTTTTGTGTTGCTTTCCACTGATTCCAAAAACTGCAAAGTTGTTAACACAATTTGTCATGTGTGAACAAGGTGCTCCCTGCATGCGTGCTTATTGAAATATACATTAATTTGTTGTGCTTCACACAATAGCCACCAGATGGAACAGCATTCTGTAGCTGAAAACACAGGAGCTAGGCAAGATCAAACTTTTCTTGGCAACTTCAACTTGGCAGTGGTTTGTCTTTAATCAATCTTCAATTTTGCCTTGGGTTATAGATTGTTACATTATATGTATAACATAGAATAACTATCATTCTTTAAAAGTGTCCAATAATTTGTCAACTGCATGTTTATTCAGAGTAAACTTAAAATATCCACAATAAAGTATAAAAAATAATAATAGAAACACACATTTAGTAATGCTGACAATGGAAAATCCATTTACACGTGGCTGCATAAGTGTAATGCAGTGTATCATTATTTTATGTGCTTTGTAAATACACAATTGCTCCCTTCAGGTATTCATGAGATAATACTTAATCATGCAAAATACCTATTACAACCCTTTACACTCAATATGCTTTTGTTGCATATTGAGTGTAAAGGGTTGTAATAGGTATTTTGGGGTGCAAATATCTGCCACTATACCATATACTAGTATAAATAGCATCTAATTACTGTTACTGTTATTGCAAGCAAAGAAAATATTACTATTTTTTACATTTTAAATACAATCTGATAATATAATTTGCACATAGTGTAACTAGAAACTATTGCTATTTGCTCTTAGCATCTGTCGCTAAGAAAATATGCCATTTTCACTTATGGGCTTTTCACACTTGAAATTTTTAACCCTGGGTCATCCTAAACCCCGGATAAACGGAATAACTTGCCAGTTATTAAAAATAAATGTTGCAGCGTAGGTCTTTTGCCGTTTTAAGCCTCATGAGACGCACAAAGGCAAGAAAACAGTGTGTGTGTGTGTGTGTGTGTGTGAAATTAGTCTTCGTTTACAGTGTTACATTTATTTATTATAATTATTGTTCTATAATTATACATTAATGTTTTTCCCTTTTGATAGGCCCTATATTTAATTGCAACAAACGGCACTCCAGAGCTACAAAATCCTGAGCGGCTATCCTCAGTGTTTCGAGACTTCCTGAACCACTGTCTGGAGATGGATGTAGACCGAAGAGGGTCAGCTAAGGAATTGTTGCAGGTAACAAACTATGTTTCAGACATCTGTATTAATGTAAATTCCAATAAATATAAATTGAACTCATGTTTCATGACATATTGAGAATTTGTATGCGACAGGAACAGCGGCAGTTTCTGTGCTACATTTGCACAGTCTACAGTTCTTCACACTGCTCTATATTATCACTTTAATAGATTATAGAAATACTTGTTCCTATAACCCTATTATGTACATTACAACTTCAGCTGACAAGCTAAAAACACCAAAAATGTCTGCCAAAGTGCTAATATAAGATTGGTGAATTTTAGCAGGTTTGACTGTTTAGTATTGTTTGTTTTGTGTTGCTTTCCACTGATTCCAAAAACTGCAAAGTTGTTAACACAATTTGTCATGTGTGAACAAGGTGCTCCCTGCATGCGTGCTTATTGAAATATACATTAATTTGTTGTGCTTCACACAATAGCCACCAGATGGAACAGCATTCTGTAGCTGAAAACACAGGAGCTAGGCAAGATCAAACTTTTCTTGGCAACTTCAACTTGGCAGTGGTTTGTCTTTAATCAATCTTCAATTTTGCCTTGGGTTATAGATTGTTACATTATATGTATAACATAGAATAACTATCATTCTTTAAAAGTGTCCAATAATTTGTCAACTGCATGTTTATTCAGAGTAAACTTAAAATATCCACAATAAAGTATAAAAAATAATAATAGAAACACACATTTAGTAATGCTGACAATGGAAAATCCATTTACACGTGGCTGCATAAGTGTAATGCAGTGTATCATTATTTTATGTGCTTTGTAAATACACAATTGCTCCCTTCAGGTATTCATGAGATAATACTTAATCATGCAAAATACCTATTACAACCCTTTACACTCAATATGCAACAAAAGCATATTGAGTGTAAAGGGTTGTAATAGGTATTTTGGGGTGCAAATATCTGCCACTATACCATATACTAGTATAAATAGCATCTAATTACTGTTACTGTTATTGCAAGCAAAGAAAATATTACTATTTTTTACATTTTAAATACAATCTGATAATATAATTTGCACATAGTGTAACTAGAAACTATTGCTATTTGCTCTTAGCATCTGTCGCTAAGAAAATATGCCATTTTCACTTATGGGCTTTTCACACTTGAAATTTTTAACCCTGGGTCATCCTAAACCCCGGATAAACGGAATAACTTGCCAGTTATTAAAAATAAATGTTGCAGCGTAGGTCTTTTGCCGTTTTAAGCCTCATGAGACGCACAAAGGCAAGAAAACAAAGACAAAAGTACAAAAGAAAGAAAACAATGAGCAAAGTATGTGAATATTTCTTTGAATTTCTTTTAAGTGTGGAGAGACTAGTGTTTACTTATACAGTAGTGCCATTGTATTATGATGATTACACTCAGTTCCTTAAATACTCTGTTCCTTACATTTCTGACCATGCCATCCAGTTTGTCTTGAACAGACTTTTCTGACCATAACTGTAAGAATAATACCATCTCCCCATCACTCCATTTCACACGCTTTGCGTCTTTTGACATTTCTTACTTTTCTCTCACCGGCTGCTGTTTACACGATGCGCATTTCCTGTTACTGACGTGACATGAGCCTCGCTGCTCAATTTCTGACTGGCTGTCTGTTGCCAATTGTCCAGCAGCAACAAGCAAACACTGCTCCGTTCACACTGAACAAACTTAGCACCGCAATGCGGTGCTAACCCTGCTCCAGAACAGGGTTTCATAACCCCAAGTAAAATGCGTTGCTAACACCGCTTTCAAATTACAGGTGTGAAACGTTTCTTTACCTGGGGTTAAAAGCAGTGTTTAGAATGACGATAACCGGGGGTTAAGTGCAGTGTGCAAAGCCTTTTAGTGTAAATGGCTATTTGTACTTTGCGTAAATAGCATCTATGGCTGCGCTTAATGCAAATAAATAATAAATAAAAAGAGTCGCCTGTCTGTGAGCAACACAGTGCTGTTTGGTTCCTGAATGAATCAGCATTTTGAACAAATTGGCTTAGCAAATGATTGATTTACATTCATAAAAAACACTTGCTTCATTTCTGAATGAAATAGTCCTTTTGAACGAATCAAATGATTCCATGACTCTTTCATTAAAACAGTAATTTGCCGACACCTACTGGTGGTTTTAGTTTCATATTTAAAAACACAATTTATTTTCTCCCCATCATTTCATAATTTCTATGTTCAAAATATTATATTTAAAACATTAATCTCATAACATTATTTATGCATTTATAATTGCTTTAAATGCATTCATGCCACCCATTTATATTTAGAGGTGGTTAATATAAAAACAAGACATCAAAATTAATATGCCCCATATAATGTAAGTATTCCAAATTATTTAGATTAAGTTACAAAACTTGAGTAATCTAACAAATACATTACAAATTACTTTTTAAACATGCATTTTGTAATCTGTAGTGAAATAAAAGTAATTTAAAAGTAATCTTCCCAACCCTGCATGTAGCATTAGGCAGTACCTGCAACCCAATCAGGTTGCGCAGGTAGTCCAGCTCCTCCAGGATGACACATCCATACTTGCCGTCGCAGGGACATGAATGAGATACTGGGAGACAGGCTGTTACATGAGGAGAGCTGGACAGAATCATAGAAGGGCAACAACCCAGCAGCAGGACCTGTAACCTCTCTTTTGTGTGAGGAGGAACAGGAGGAGTTCTGCCAGTGTCCTCCAAAATGACCTCCAGCAGGCTACTGGTGTACATGTTTCTTACCAAACTGTCAGAAACAGACTTCCTGTAGTGGGACCTGTGATCACAGCCCAGTACCATGCAGCCCTACTGGTATTTGCCAGAGAACACCAGAATTAACAGACCTGCCACTGGTGCCCCAAATTCTTCACGGATGAGAGCAGGTCAGGTTCACACTGAGCACATGAGACAGACATGAAGGAGTCTGGAGATGCCATGGGGTTATAATGCTTCCTACAACATCATCCAGCATGACCGGTTTGATGGTGGGTCATTGATGGTCTGGGGAGGAATATCCTTGGAGGAACGGACAGACCTCCACATGCTACCCAACAGTACCCTTACTGCTATTAGGTACCAGGATGAAAACCTCAGAGCCACTGTCAGGCCTTAGGCTGATGCAGTGGGCCTTGGGTTCCTCCTGGTACATGGCAATGCCCGGCATCATGTGGCCAGAGTGTATAGGCAGCTTCTGGATGATGAAGTTATTGATGCCATTGACAGGCCGTCACGCTCCCCAGACCTGAATCCAATCAAGAACTTCTGGGACGTTATGCATTGGTGGATCCGAAACCATCAAGTAGCACAACAGAATGTCTAGGAGTTCACTGAAGCCCTGATCCAGGTCTGGCAGGACATCTCCCACCATCTCATCAGGAGCATGCCCAGACGTTGTCAGGAGTGCATACAGGCACGTGGAGGCCATAACCCAAGGGGTGTCAAACTCAGTTCCTGGAGGGCCGCAGCCCTGCAGAGTTTAGTTCCACCCTGCTGCAACACACATACCATGTAGTTTTCAAATAAGCCTGAAGGACTGGATCAGGTGCATTTAATTAGGGTTGAATCTAAACTCTGCAGGGCTGTGGCCCTCCAGGAACTGGAGTTTGACACCCCTGCCATACACAGTACTGACTTACATTATGAGTTGCCATGATGAATTTCATGCAGGTTGGATCAGCCTGTAATTAAATTTTTTAAGAAAATCGCTTTCACAGACTTTTACCTTAAATGACCTGCCCAATTCGATCTGAGCAGCTGAGTCTATAGCCATCTTCAAGAAACGA